CTAAAATACAATAATTTCATCACCTTTATTGTCAAAATCTTATAATTATTGTTCTCTTATTCATAAAGATCAGCCACACTGCACATGCTAACTGGTATTGCTAATTTTTTCTTTCTTTCTTTCTTTCAAAAAGCCAGGTCATTGATATATGGTAAATAACAACAGGAAAGAAATTAGATAAAAGAATAAAACACAAAGTAATCCCTCTATAAAGAAATCTTAGAAGAGGATTAAATCTAGTATCCCAATAAAAAGTCAGAATAAAGAAATGAGATCACATAGGCAAAACAGGTGATGCTTGGCATTGAACCCATTCATCACTTAAAAGAGTGAGACTTCCCAGGCTTAACGTCTTACTTGTGCATACTGTTTCCTGATAGTCTTGCCACTTCCATGATAAATGTACACAGCACCCCCGTGATCATCTTCCAGCGGAGCTCCTATCACGATGTCATTAAATCCATCAAGATTGAGATCTTTTACAACGGCAATTGCTGTTCCAAAACGAGCCCCACACGGCTCATTTCTGTTTTCCTTTGTGCATGAATTGTGTTTCAGAGATGAACAGCAAGTCTGCTTAATGGGTTCCAGGCTCATTTGATATTCAAACCTTGTCTGTAAGAAAGATAAACAGGATGCTTATGGATTTCTATCATTACAACAGCAGAGAAGAATTTTTTTATGTACATACTGTATCAGTGCTATTAAAAACCATTTGGTACATCAATAAAAAAAAGTTGCAAAGTTCCTTAAAAGAATGGCTACCTGAAAGCAAAGTTAGGCATTTCAAAACATAGAGAGTAGAAATGAGGGAAATAGGATATCCTGAGAATTATAAAAGATACTCTAATGCAACTCAGTGAGCATCTTGTTAAAGCCAAAGAACTGAGTTTTCAAATCCGTAACTCATGCTACTATTCTTTCTTCACCCAATACTGTGCGTCTTTGAAAAGTCCCTCATGCACATTAGACATGGAAAATCCCTAAAGCATAGTTCCTGGTGTGGTGCTGGAGAATAAGCCCTGAACTGCTAACCACAAAGTTGGGTTAGAAACCTACCAGTTCCTCCTTGGAAACTCTATAGGGTTGCTGTGAGTTGGAACCGACTCAACGGCACTTAATAACAACATAGAACAGAAAGAAAATGCATTCTGTCCAAAAAGAAAACTTTTTCCAAAGGTGTCTAGGGTAGAGTGACGGTGAAGAGTAAAGAAGATTAAGTGCTAGTAAAATGTGGATAAGAAGATACTTTCATGGAAAAAAAACAACAACAAAATACAGCACAGGACAGATAAACAAAGTGAAATAATTGAGAGGAAGCAATAAAAATTTAATAGTATAAAGATAGATCATTTATGATATAAAATAACATGGGAGAGATGCTTTTGATAGTAGTGGCTGTCAATTCCAACTCATCACGGCCCTGCATAGGGTTTCTGAGGCTATAAATCTTTACGGGAGCAGAAAGAATCATCTTTATCCTAGAGCTGCTGGTAGATTCACACTATTGACTTTGCAGTTAGGAGCCCAGCTTGTAATCCACTATGCTATCAGGACTCCTTGGAAAAGAGTCTAAGAATTTAAGAAATCTAAATTAACCACATACAGAACATCACTGTATGGAGAAATGTATGCAGATGAGTAAAAAATTATCCATAGGATGGCTGTAGCATTAAGTTAGAAAATACAAATAAATCTTTTTTTTCATAATCCCCTTGCTTTTCAATATACTTTGTCCATCTGCCAACAGGCTTTCATAATCCTTTTTTGAAAAATGTTTTAGGCTGAGCCGCGAGCCAAAAATGAGCCGCTGTCTTCACTTCTTCATCAGAGGTAAATCTTTGTGTTTGAAGGGCTGCTTTCAGGGTACCAAACAGGTGAAAATCTGATGGAACAAAACCAGGACCATAGGGAGATGCTTTTATACCTCAAAACAAAGTTTTTGCAGAGTATTCATAGTGTGGGCAGAGGCGAGTGGGTGTGCATTGTCATGCAAGATCACAATACCCTTGGTTAGCAGTCTTCTCTGTTTAATCCAAAGTTTAGGATTTAGTTCCTCAGTAAGCATCACACTATAATGAGCACTGTTGATTGTTGAATCTTTTTCCTGATAGTGTTCCAATACTGACCCTTCAGAATCTCAGAAAACTGTCAGCATCAATTTTTCAGCTTGTGGTTGACTTTTGAACTTTTTCTTGGTCAGAGATTGAAGATGTTTCCATTCTATACTCTGCAGTTTACTCTCGGGCTTGTAGTGATGAATCCATGTCTTCTTACCAGCAATTTTTTTTTTTTTTTAAGAAACATTTATCTTCGTTCAAGTATTGGTTCAAATTTTGTTTACAGATGTCCAAATGCTTCTGTTTATGCTCATCTGTGAGTTGTCTCAGTACCCATCTCGCATAAACTTTTCAAAACCCAAGTCTGCTGTGGATTATTTCATAGGCAGAGCCATGGTTGATTTGCAAATGATTTGCTACATAACCCGCTGTCAACTCATCTGTTTGACAGAATCATTTCACGTGTACACTCAATGTTTCATAAGCCGTAGATGAGATGAGCATTTTACTATAACCAGAATGTGGATGATTTTTGCCCAGGTAGACAGAGGTTTGCCTGTAGGCATAGCTGAAGATAGGCCCTTCTGACTGGAAGAACTGTGCCCAGAGCATTTTCTGATCCTGCACTGTAAGTCGTTAACTTCCTTTATAAACCCTGTCACTGTTGAGTATGTGAATTATTAAGCACCAATGAATAGAGTGCTGTGAGAGGGATGGTTTGGTTCATTTTTGCTGGACCTGAAAATCTCTTGGTTCATTTTCCCAAATATCCATTGAAAAACAAACCAAATGCCATGGAGTCCATTCCGATTCATAGTGGTCCTTCCTATAGGACAAAGCAGAACTGCTCATGGGGTTCTGAGGCTTTAATCTTTATGGAAGCAGACTGCACCATCTTTCTCCTGTGGAGTAACTGGTGGGTTCAAACTACCAAACTTTTTGTTATCAACCCAGATGCTCAACCCATTTTACCACCCAGGTTCCTCAGTTTTTCCAAGGTGAGTACAAATTAGACCATTATTTGAAATGGAAGGTTTTTCTAAATTTCCTAATTTAGGTATTTTAAGTAATTTAGGTATTTTAGGTAATTTCCTAAATTTCTCAAAGTTCAAAGTTACAATTACCTTATTCAAGGCGTACACATACACTTTTCCTTGTTCCTCTTTCTCTGTTCCCATGTACATGGGAGCTCCAACCAAAAGAATATCAGTATTTGAATCTTTATCAATATCAATTGTTGTTAAAACACTGCCAAAGTAAGAACCAATCTAGGACAAAACAAAAGAGCTGATGAACATTAAAAATTCTCAAGGAAAAGATAAAATCTGCATTTCATTCATTTATGCCAATCTAGATGAGTACCTGAGGTTCAATTGATAAAATAGAATATACAAACTGATGCTACTATTGGTGTTTACAGGAGGCTGATTAACATTAATCAGTCCTTTACTTGAAGATGAACAGTTTTCATACATTCCCTTTTGATTTCATACTAATCTTGCCCTCCTTCTCATACATGCAAACAAAAAGCATGATATTTTTATTTCTTACAGGAAATAAAATAAGGTAAATAATATATGACATTCTGGATTGATATCATATATGTTTATAAGCAGTCATATGAAAATATGAAATAAATATGGCATCAGGAGCTGAGCTGTCCTATAATACTGGTATGATATTTTACACTTTACAGCCACAGAAGATTGCCTACTTACTGACATGACTAAGCAGCTATGAGAGATAGAAAAATATGAGAGGATAGCAGTGGTGTAGTGGGGAGTATAGAAGGGACATCCCTTAGACATTTATATTTTGTCTATTAAACATAGGGATACATTTTAGGAACATGCAGAGATCTTATATTTCATTATCTAAATATAATAACTTTTATAATTATTGGTTTATACTTGATATTTGGTACTCTTGATAATTCTCTTATTGAAACTTCCTATCTGTGCTTCCATGAATATATTTTTGTTATCCTGACACTGTTCCTATATCATAGCCCACCCATTCTCTACATCTTTGCTGGCCCTTTTCCTCTATTTCCAAAATATTGGCCTCCCCTGGAGGCCAGGATGGCCAGACTTCGTCTCTCATACTTTGAACATACTGTCAGGAGGGACCAGTCACTGGAGAAGGATATCATGTTTGGTGAGGTGAAGGATCAGAGGAAAAGATGAAGACCCCCAGCAAGATGGATTGGCAAAATGGCAGCATCAACGGGCTCAAACGTGGCAACAATTGTGAGGTTGGCCCAGGATCAGGCAGTGTTTTGTTCTGTTGTGCATAGGGTAGCTATGAGTCGGTACTGATTCAATGGCACCTAACAACAACAAGGCTCAGAGCTGCAGTTGTCTTTCCACTCTCTTACTCTAGATGACCATCCATCCCACACATTTTCCAAAACTAGTCAAGGAAAACCCTGTGAATCACAGCAGTTCAATTCATGAGTAATCATGGGCATTGTACAAGACTGGGCATTTTGTTCCATCACGCATGGGGTCGCCGTGTGTCAGGGGCTGGCTCCACAGTAGCTAACAATCTATGCATATAGATGATTGTACATGGAAGGTACATGTTATATAGTTTCCTACACTTCTCTTAATATTCAATATTCCCTAGTGAGAATTTCCCACTGTTAACTGTTACAAATTTCTCATTATTTCCAAGAAAAAATAAATTAATTCTTTAGTTTTCAAGGCCTCATTCAATTGGGTCTATATTATCTTTTTATCTTTCTTTTTTCACTGCTCTTTCGTCTGACCTGTATTCTATCTTTCTTCCTAGACTCAGTCCAGATTTTATAACTAATTGAGACTTTCTGCACGAATCCTAGATTAAAACAATATTCCCATCTTCTGAATTCACTATCTATGCCACTTGCACTTTGATGGCTCTTAATATTTTAAATCTCTTTTCTGATATTTATCTTTACATCTCTATCTATTACATAAACATCTTACTTCCCAGCCCACCAAGACCCATTGCCACTGAGACGATTCTGACTCAGAGACCCGATAAAGCTTTTCCAATACTATAAATCATTCTGGGAGTAGACAGTTTCATCTTTATCCCACAAGCAGCTGATGGGTTAGAATTGTTGGTCTTGTGTTTAGCAATCAGATGCTGATCTCACAGTGACTCTAGGACTCCATCTTACCACTATCCCTATCCAACAAAAACATTCTAAGGCCAAAGATGAAGACACTTTATGTCTCTCAAAGCAGCCTTATGTAGGGTCCTAGTCACAACAGATACTGAATGTATAAGTTAATTAATCTGCAGTAATAGTTTTTAGGCTTACCTGTTCTCCACTGAGTGTCTGGAGAATCTTGACTTCCCCACCTTCCATCCTGTAGATAATGACCTGGCCGGTGTGGTTATACCTGGGCTGTCCAGCGATATAGAGAACATCTCCAGAAACCATAGCAGAGTTTACGCTGTAACCTAACAAGAGAGACTCCAGATATAATAACTGGCCCCACAAATTATGTATGTAGTAAATTAAGATTAATTTTAAGTGGTTGGAAGAATCTTCTTATATAAACTTTAAAAAATAAAGAAAGAATTTTTCCTTTAAATGCACATCAGAGTTTGCTTTGGTAGAAACTTTTAGGGTACTCTCTGATTATCTACCACAACTGCTTTGTCCTGAAAATGCATCTTCTTCCAATCTCAGGCATACATTGCTTAAAGGCACAATTTTAAAACAATGATAACAGAAAAACAGCCCTCCCCAACACACACCTCAAAATTTTATTGTAATCCCAACAATTTATATATTTATAAATTAAATTTCATTTTGAATACCAACTTTTAATCCAACTTTAGGGTAGCATGCCATAAATATCTTATGTAATTAGAATCAAGTCTTTTCAATGTAGTGGTTACAAATCGGGCTGTGAATTGCAAGGTCAGCAGTTTGAAACTACCAGCTGTTCCCTGGGAGAAAGATGAGGCGTTCTGCTCCTGTAAAGATTTACAGCCCCAGAAACCCTGTACAGGGTTGCTATGAGTCGGAACCAACTCCACAGCACACAGCCAGCCACCTACAAGTAAAAAGCAAATGAATCACCATTAAGTCAATTCTGACTCATAATGGCCTTATGTAGGGTTTCTGAGGCTTTAAATCTTTATGGGAGCAGAAAGTCTCCTTTTTCTCCTGGGGAGTGGTCTGGTGGATTCCCCCTGATGACTTTTCGGTTATCAGCCCAACACAGAACTCACAATGATATTCACTGCAAGTATTTTTTTTTCTAAAACATAAAAGGTGACAATAAATGTGTACCTCACCATCTGAATTACACGGGAATCAAACTGACTACGTCTGAGAGAAGAGATGATGGAGAAGTTCAATATCATCAGCCAAAACAAGGCCTGGGCTTTACTGTGGAACAATCAATTGCTCATACCCAAGTTCAGGCTAATGCTGAATAAAATTAAAACAATTTAAGAGTTGGAGATGACATCAAGAACATCATCCATGAGGAAAGCAAAAGATCTTCGTAAAGACAGGAAGAAAAGAAAAGACCAAAATGGATGTCAGAAGAAATTCTGCCACTTGCTCTTGAATGCAGAGAAGCTAAAACAACTGCAAGAAATGAGGAAGTAACAGAGTGTTCAGAAAATTTCAAAGGGCAGCTCACGAAGACAAAGTAAAGTATTATAGTGAAATATGCAAAGACATGGAGTTGGAAAACCAAAGGAAGAACATGCTCAGAATTTCTCAAGCTGGAAGAAGTAAAGAAAAAATTCAAGCCTCAATTTGTGATATCAAGGATTCTAGGATAAAATATTGAAAGACACAAGTAACACTAAAAGAAGATGGAAACAATACAAAGTGTCACTGTACAAAAAGAATTGGTTCATGCACAACCATTAAAATGATCAAAAACTGAATGTAGTGAAGGAAGAATTCCAAGCAACACTGAAGGCATCAGTGGAAAATGAGGCTCCAGGAATTGATGAAATGCAAATTGAAATTTTCAACAAACTGATGCAGTTGCTGGAGGTGAAAATAAATTTGTAAGAAAACTACCTGGACACCTGATTGGAAGACATCGTATCTGTATCCATTCCAAGAAAGGTAACCAAAAAGAATGTTAATATCATTGAACAACATCACTAATGTTATATATAAGTACATTTTTGCCTAAAGGTAATTAAAAAATGGTTTCAGCAATGTATCAATAGGGAGCTACCAGAAATTCAAGCAGAATTCAGAAGAGGATGTGGAACGAGGGATATCATTGCTAATGTCAGATGGATCTTGGCTACAAGCAGAGAATACCAGAAAGATGGTTACTTGTGTTTTATTAACTATGCAAAGGCATTCTACTGTGTGAATCAGAACACCCTACAGATAATAATGTGAAGAATAAATATTTCAGAACACTTTATTGTGCTCATGGGGAACGTGTACTCAGAAAAAGAAGATATTGAATGGTTTAAAATCAGGAAAGGTGTGTGTCAAGGTTGGATCCTTTCACCAACAAGAATATTTATTTTATTCATTTGCTGAGCAAATAATACAAGAAACTGGACTATATGAGGAAGAATATTGCATCAGGGTTATAAGATAGCTCACTAACAATTTGTGATATACAGATAACACAACCTGGCTTGTTAGAAGTGAAGAGGACTTAAAAATACTTACTGAAGAAGATTAAAGACTACAGCCTTCAGTAAGGATTGCACCTCAATTAAAAGTAAGCAAACATCCTCACAATGGGACCAATAAACAATATCATGATAAAGGACTGAAGTTGTCAAATACTTCACTTTGTTTGGATTCATAATCAACACCCATGGAAGCAGCAAATGACGTTTTTAAAATGTTAAAGAGCAAACATGTCACACTTTGAGAACTAAGGTGCACTTGACCCACACCATGGTATTTTCAGTTATCTCAAATGCATGTGAAAGTTGGACAATGAATAAAGATGACTGTAGAAGAATTGATGCATTTCAATTATCATGTTGTCAAATAATATTGAAACTACCATGGGCTTCCAGAGGAACAAACAACTCGGTCTTTGAAGGAGTGCAGCCAGAATGCTCTTTAGAAGTGAAGATAGAGACACGCCGTCTGTCAATCTTTGGATATGTTGTTAGTAGGGATCAGTACCTTGGGAAGGACATCGTATTTGGTAAATGAAAAAGAAGACCTCCAATGAGATGGATTGACACAGTAGCAACAACAATGAGTCTAACTATAACCATTATGAGGAATGCACAGGACTGGGCAGTGTTTGGCTTTGTTGTCCAAGGAGTGGCTATGATTCAGAATCAACTGGAGGGTAACTAACAGTAACAACAATAACAAACTTAACATTGTTTCCTAGATAAGAAAAGCACAAAATTGAAGAGCTGACATACTGACAGCCATCTCTATGGGTTTATAAAGGATAAATCAATGTCAGCTATGTAATTCACCTCTTGAAAAACAGTCAGGTAATGAAAACCAAGTCAGATTGAGTCAGGTAATAGAAACAGAGGTATAATCTGTCTTGTTTTATGCCTTACGACTTGTCTTTTGAATCTATTTGGGGTGATTGCTGTTAAGTGCCATCGCGTCAGTTCCAACTCATAGGTACCATGTATAGGGTTTCTGAAGAGTCTGGACCTCCAACCTTGTGGTTCAAACCTACCTACCCTGTAGTCAAGTGGTTATCTTACAGCAACATACCAAATTTGGAGTAGAAAAAGGCAGAAAAAGTACCTACACTATATTCTCAATCTCAACATCGCTTGCTAAGTACATATTAGCACGTTGCTGTTGTTCTTAAGTACTGCTGTCAAATTGGTTCCAACTCCTAACAATATTGTGTTGGGTTTTCCATATAGAAGCTGAACTACTGACCTTGTGGTTAGCAGTCCAGTGTTTATCCTACAGCACCACGCCAGTCACAAAATAGTTTTATTTGGTTCAAAACCACTGGCCACTCCTTAGAAACCCTATAAAGTGTCTCTATGAGTTGGAAACAACTCGACGGCACTTAACAACAAGAAGATACCTGCTGTACCCTGAAAGTGGTTCAACAGCTTCCGCTCCAACTTCTGGTTATTACAGATTAGTAAAGTTTTTTTGTATTTTTTTTTAATTTTATTTTACTTTAAAAATATAAACAGTATCTACCTCTTTGCTTCTTCATAAGACTATTGTTGTTGTTGTTAAGTGCCATTGAGTCGGTTCCAACTCATAGCAACCCTGTATAGGGTTTCTGAGGAATGGCTGGTGAATTTGAACCACTGACCATGAGGTTCAAACTGACCTTGCAGTCTAGTGCATTAACCCATGGTGCCACACCAGGACTCCATGAAAGAATTTTCTATAATCTAAAAATCTGCCATCTACGCAGATTTTGGTTTATTCTCAAATTATTTGCTCAGCATACAGATTGAATAAGTATGGTGAAAGAATACAACCCTGTCGCACACCTTTCTAACTTTAAACCATTCAGTGTTCCCATGTTCTGTTTGAACAACTGCTTTTTGGTCCGTGTACAGGTTCCTCATGAACACAATTAAGTGTTCCGGAATACTCATACTTTGCATAAGGATACATACTACACACTAAAATACAGCACTGTAGGGTAATACAATGGACCACAAGGTCAGTTTGAACCACAAGGCTGGCAATTCAAATTTGCCAGTCACTCCTTGGAAACCCTACACAGGGTTGCTATGAGTTGGAACTGACTCGACAGCACTTAACCACGACAACAACAAGGATATAAATGAAGAGACAAATAGTATGAAGTCAGGTAAGATACCCAACACAGAGCTTCCTTCTTCCACAAAGAACACATTACCTTCTCGTCTGCATCAGTTTCTATCACCAATCAGGAAGCTTCCATGTTTAGATCTTCTACTGAGGTCTCGTTATGTAGGCATGATTAACTGAATAACGTCAAACTGCCTTGAAGTTGGCTCACATCATGAAGGGGTCTTTCTAGCCTGGTGACTCATTAGCATAAACTCAGGATTGCCTGGAGTCCTTATCAAAGACACTTCAACCTCGGGAAATCCCAAGCTTTTATAGGAACCAAAGGCAAAGACCAAATTCTTTATGTAAGTAATATTATTTCCATTTTAGAAATAAGCTAATTAAAACTCTGAATGGACAAAGAAATTTGACTAGCTAGAGGCTAGTATCAAGGAGCTCTGGTAGCGCAGTGGTTACGAATTGGGCTGTGAACCTTAAGGTCAGCAGTTCAAAACTACCAGCTGTTCTGCGGGAGAAAGATGAGGCTTTCTGCTCCCATAAAGATTTACAATTCTCAGAAACCCTGTACACGGTTGCTATGGGTCAGAACTGACTCCACGGAGCATAACATAACAGAGGCTAATACCAGAAAACCAACTCAAGTCTTTGTGGCTTCTGAATGTGCACTAGTGCCATAACCAATTTGTTCTTAGCATCATAGAATCAGCAGCTTCGTGATTTTTATATTTATGAGGATATCGACTGGACGAGACTTAACAACAACTGCAAAATGCTACATTATGCAAATGTACCATTTACTTATCTGTTATTGTTATTGTTAAGTGCCGTAGAGTAGGTTCTGACTCATAGTGACCCTGCATAGGGTTTCCAAAGAGCGGCTGGTGAGCTTGAACCACCAACTTTGTGGTTCCAACTGATCTTACAGTCCAGTTCATTAACCTGCAGTGCCACACCAGGAACCAAATTACTGTACACTTAGGATCATGCTGTTTTCCCCACTATCAGAAATAACAATACAATAACATTTTCTCTTCACTTGACATTCTTAAATATTTCAATTTCTTCTTCAGTTACATCATTACAAGTGAAATGTCTAAGTCTATGTGGTATGAATATTTTTGTGGTTCTACATACAAATTGTCAAATTAATTTCCTAATGATCCTATACCCAGGATAGGAAGAACCTCAAGGTTAAATTGGTTCTTAATTTCAAGGTATTTCATGTAAGGCAGTCTCATGTAATTTTTAGACATTATCTTATCTAACCTCCTATTCTCTTTTTAGGAATATTTTGGATATACTTTGAGGATGATTGCTTTCAAACTCTATCATTGTAGACTTGTTCTGCCTTATATAGCTCATCTTCAATTTATACTCCAACGTTTGGTATATTGCAGATACTCAGCAGTTGAAAGGGACACCCTAGACCAATCCAGAATCAGGAATTTTGGTATGGTGAAATGAACATTGGAATAAGAATCAAAAGTCTAAGACTGAAGCTGCACACTTGCCCTATGTAGCTATGACATAATTGTGCTTCTGCTGAGATTCTTCATTTGAAAATTCTGATGTTTGACTATATGATTTCTTGGATCTCTTTTAGCCCTAACACTCTATATGGATTTTAAGTTCAACTCTTTTATTTTGTATCATCATCACAGTCTTCCAAATATTTAAATGACATGCACTATATACTTTCTTTTGAACCTTCAATTTCTTAACTTTTTGGTGAAGAGTGGTGTGTAGCAGGGAATTGCTTACAGAGCTATAATCCTCTACCTTTACTGGCAAATCTTGACATTTTCTCTTTATAATATGTGTAATTTATAGGAATGTTTGTAACAACTCTAGCTATTATTTGTCCATGGCAGAATATAATAGGGCTTTTGTGGGAAAGCGATTTAACTTGGAAACCCTATACAGGGTCGCTATGGGTCGGAATAGACTCAACGGCACTTAACAATAGCAACAACAATGCAGTTCAATGTGTCTAAGGGATTTATATCTACAGGTTGCCATTATATTTTGAGTCATCTTAAACTCTCAGGTTTTTATTGTTAAGTTCTATGGACTGTGTAGCTTTAATATGGGCTCCTAAATTAGGAGACACATGGAAGTAGGTTATATAACAGGTAGTAGTGAAGAGCTTGTCATTATTCACAAGATAGGATCTTATTACCTTCTTCTCAAGATACAAAGAAACTGTGCTAGAGGGAGAAAAAGACTTGTCTCCTGGACAAAAGATCCCAGAGAGGAATGCCAAAGTGCTAAAATGTCAACACTATACAACTACAGCATTTGTCGATATGTTCACCAGTGCAACTACTGAACTAAGAAAAATGCCTGAGGAAAGGAGGTACCACAAAAATATTTGTTTATTTTCAATTCCACACCCAACCACCACCTTAACTGTTACTGAGTTCTAGTGATAAAGGAATCTTGGTGTAGCGTTGCAAGTTAATGTGCTGGACTGCAAGCTTGTCAGCTGCTCCTTAGAAATCCTATGCAGAGTTGCTCTCAGTCAGAATCGACTCGACAGCACTTAACAACAATGATAAAGGATGGAGTCCTGGTTTGGAGCTGTAGGATAAGCACTGGACTAGTCACCATAAGGTTTGTAGCTCAAAACCACCAGCCATTTTTTGGAAATCCTATTATGGGTCTGTTGTTATGAGTCAGACCCCAACTTGACAGCATTCAACAACACAATAAGTGATGAAGCAAAGTCCCAGGCATCCTAACTTAGGCAGCTCCCAGCCTGGTACAGCTCCAGCTTCCTCATGTCAAATAAGTCCTTAGAAAACAAGATGGTGTCACATCCCTGGCTTTAAATTCAGTATTTGTTTGTTTGTGACTAGAGCTATTAAAGTTGAAACTACATGACAGAAAGAATGAAAACATTTCTTTTCCAAAATTAGGACCCAGGGAAACAAACTCTGTAAATGATTGACTTCTAAGAAAATTTCAGTTCCCTGGTCTTTAGGATATATGTAGAGCCAAGCTTTCTTTTTCTGCTGTCATTTCCTGTCCAGCAGCTCCAATGCTTTTCTAAAAATCAAAGGGATATGAGACACAGGGAGAGTTCAGAAAGTACACTTAATAGCCCAAATCATTTCCTGTACTAGATAGCACCTCCATTTCTGTAATCTTCACCAACTAAAGCTGCTCACAGACAGGCAAGCTTTCATGGGTCCTGTCAAATACCCAGCTCTCAGAAGTTACCTCTCTATCAATATTCTTCCACATGGTTGTAAGTCTATATAGATAAAGCAAATAATGCTAAAGATTACAACAGCCAACAGCTATAAAAAGAAGAAGAAAAAGAAATCCACAACAATCTTCTATCAGTAATATCCAAGTCTTACCTAAGTAAGAAGCAAGAGGTTCATTCTTTGTGGTAGACTCAACATTAAAAGACATGTTCTGGGGGATGATGATTTGATTCGCCTTCTGCATGACGACTGTCCCATTCCAATCATAGGCTCCTACTGCTCCAAGCATAACCCAATCCTTATGTTCAAACAAAGAGAGCAATAATACTTAATAAAATCAGAGCAAATGCTTATATACCATCAATTATGTATTAGGTACTGTTCAAAGTGCTTTCCATATACTAATTCAGGGAATGCGCACAATAACACTATGAGCTTTTTTTACAAAAGACAAATGCTCTAGCTAGTAATGAAATAAATAGCAATAGTCCTCTGCAGGGACCATGGTGACTTTTCTTCCATCAACTACTTGTTGCTGTTAGTTGCCATGGAGTTGACTGTGACTCTTAGCAACCTCGTGTGTGCAGTGTAGAACAACTCTACTGGGGTTTTTCAGAAGCAGGTCACAAGGCCTGCTGTCTGAGGCATCACTGAATGGGTTCAAACTACCAACATTTATACTCATAATGGAACACACAACCATTTGTGCCACCCATCAATTACTAATGATAAATTTTCTAATTTTGCCTTTTGGCATTATTCTGGATGCTAAAAATCACAGGTCCGATCTATCCAGAACATCAGTTTTTAGCATGGCTTTTGAATTACCTTGTCACTAAGAAAAAGATAAATTCAATATATTTAGCAAATAGTTTAAAGATTTCATTCAAGCAGATGAAATAAAGCACATAAACTGTCTGACTCACAATTATTAATACAACGTAGTGAGATAACACGTTTCCCTAAAGAAAAGCTTCCAAAATGTCATTTTCCTATTTGGATTAGAAAACATGATCATGGGCCGAATAACTGCTCACGCCATGAACTGCACTTATAATGCTGACAACTGGTTGTTAGTTTTGGGGGAGAAAATGTAGCTAAAGGTCATTTCATTTACTACCCCATGGTCTACACACCTGTGAGTAGTGAGCACTGAAGCCAGTCTGAGACATTTCCATTTCGAATGAAGCTGCTGATTGATCAGCTGTAGCTGTAAGATAGGAAAATAATCATCATAAGCAACAAGCAGTGCCTTCTTCTAGCAGACAGAGGCTTGATATTGTCTTTATTCATCAAAACTTCTGACATTTTTAAGGATCCAGATTTCTCCATGCAAAATGCCTAAATAGGGCTGGGGAGAGGTCAGAGTATATCTGCTTTCATCTATGAGTCTCAGAATCTTGCTTGCTATCTTGCTCGGGATTGCTGGAGGAATTGGGGAATCTCCATTCATGCAGTTCTTCTTACATTGTAGCAGGCTTATTGATCCTACGATGCTTTCGTTCATGTGATTATACTTCAAATGCTGCAGAAAATTTCTCTCACTCTCTGGCAAACCCTGCTGAGACTTTAGGCTACACTTACCAAGTGTGTTATAAGGCTGGGCATGTTCCATCCACAATTTGAAGGTGATCTCTTGCCTCTCTCAACCCCATCCATATTTCAGGCCTGCTTGGAATTCCATTGTCTGATGAAGGGTTTAGAGACTTGGGTTGTATTTACTCTAATTGCTAGCTGTGGGTATGACCCCAAGATCAGAGGAAATTTTTTGCCAGCAGCCTAGGGCATATGTCATTCAATCATGTATGTGTGTATGTACACATAAATTTCTTAATATAAATATTTTCCAATTGTTTTTAAACTCTTTTCTGAAAAATAGAGATAATCTAAAGTGTTCTACTGATGTATGCTACTCTAAAGTTATTTTCAAAATATTCACACATCCAAAGCCATAAACTCATCAGGGGATTGAAGGAATGTTGATTAATCTGATTCCACTAGGGTGTTACTGATTTATTTGGCTTTGTGGATAAGTTAAAAATAGTGCATAATTTAAGAAAGTCAGTCTGTCTTTTCATTGAGCCATGGGAATAATCAAATTTGTGAAATGATACTGTTTACTAGGTTTCTGGGTGGAGCAAACAGTTCGCACTGGCTACTCATCAAAAGGCTGGCAGTTTGGACCCAGCCAGAGACACTATCTTTACGGTGATCTGCTTCCATAAAGATTACAGTCAAGAAAACATTATGGAATTGAATTCTACTCGGTAACACATAGTCACGAGTCTGAATCTGTTCAATAGCAGCAGGCTTTATTTGTGAAATTAAACTACCTTTTCGTGTGGCACTGTAAGATAAGCACTGGACCACAAGGTAGGTTTGAACTTCATAGTCAGCAGTTCAAACCCACTAGCCAATCCTTGGAAACTCTATACAGGGTCACTATGAGTCGAAACCACTCTACGGCATTTAACGACAACACTGATTCTTTACTGGCATAATTTTATTGAAACTACATCAGAATTAGATTAAATGAGACAATCAATCAAAAATTCAAATATATCATTTTAATCACAGGACGTATTGTACTTTAATTAAATGACCAAGATGCACTTTAATGTAAACATTTATAACTCCACAGTGATTTCAGGTATAGTCTCATTTACCTTGACTCATTTGCAAGTCAAGAACACAACAACTGTCGTCACCCAGAATCTACAAAAGCTACGTCCACTATGCAGACTGGACTCTTGACATGGCACTGCAGGTTAATGCATTGAACTAAAAGGTTGGTTTGAATCACAAGGTTGCTGGTTCAAGCTCACCAGTCACTCCTCAGAAACCCTGACAGGGTTGCTATGAATCACAACACAGTGGCACTAACCAACAACTATTCAGACAAGGAAATACATACATGTTTCCAGCACATTCCCTTGCTACAATTCTACCTTCAGCTAAGAACAGAGAAGAGGAACCTATGTAATATTCTGCTTGCTGAGTCAGCATCATGGTAATCACCTGTTCCATGTCCCTGAACTTTTTACTGTCAACTCCTCCTTGGGCTCTTCTTGGCTGGTGAGACAATGGCTCTCACCACTGTGCAGTCTCTCCGTATGAATTTCAATACTGCTTCCAGTGCATAGTGAGCAAGGGAGACATGAGACAATTTCCTGCTTTCAATAGGCAGTTATTAGCATACTTACCTCACTAGATAGTACTATCCTAAGGAGGAGTCCTGGTGTGGTGCTGTGGGTTAATGCGCCAGTCTGCAAAGTCGTTTGAACTGCAAGGTCGGCAGTTCAAGCTCACCAGCTTCTCCTCGGAAACCCTATAGAGGGTCACTATGCATCAGAACCGACTCGACGGCACTTAACAACAATAAAGGAGCTCTGGTAGCGTAGTGGTTATGAATCAGGCTGCGAACCACAAGGTCAGCAGTTTGAAACTAGTAGCTGTTCTGTGGGAGAAAGATGAGGCTTTCTGCTCCCGTAAAGATTTACAGCCTCAGAAACCCTGTACACTGTGGCTATGAGTCAGAACCAATTCCACGGCACTTAACAACAACAACAACAGGGGAAGCAGGACTTTTCATAGTAGAAGACAATGAATGGGTTTGTTTTTGATAACGAACACACTGCCATCTAATTGATTCTGAGCTATGGAGACACCATGTATTATAGAGTACAACTGAGCTCCACAGACTTTTCTTAGCTGTAATCTTAGTTTCTCAGCTGCTAAAAGGTTGGTAGTTCAAGTATACCCAAAAAAGCCTCCCAATAAAGGTCTGAGGATCTATTTCTAAAAAGCGAGTCACAGGAATTCCTACAGAGCACAGTTCTTCCCTGACATACATGAGATCACCATGGATTGACTCCATGGCAAATGCTTTTTACTAAAGATCCAAGTGGACTTCAAAAAGTGCAAGGAAGAATTCCATCATCTTTCAGTTACATTTTCCCATGCACCTTTTGAAGCACCCTTATATATGCTGGTTGTTTGACATCAAGTAGGTTCTAACCCATAGTGACCCTGTATAGGGTTTCCAAGGAACAACTGGTGAGCTTGAACTGCTGACCTTGTGGTTCAAACTGACTTTTCAGTCCAGTGCATTAACCTACAGCACCACGCTAGGACTCCAAATATATGCTACTGTTGTTGTTAAGAGCCATTGAGTTGGTTTCGACCCATAGCGACTCTGAATAGGGTTTCCAAGGAGTGGCTGGTGAGCCTGAACTGCCAACCTTGTGGTTCAAACCAATGTTGCAGTCCATCACATTAACCCACTGTGCCACACCATATATATGCTAGTTGTTGTTGTTGTTGTAGTTAAGTGCTGTTGAGTCAGTTCCAACCCATAGCGACCCTGTATAGGATTTCCAAGGAGCAGCTGGTGAGCTTGAACCACCGACCTTGCAGTTCAAACAGTTTTGCAGTCTGGAGCATTAACCCACAGTACCACACCAAGGCTCCTATATATGCTAGTGTTAACTGGAAATTCCATAAACAATAAAGAAATGAAGCCTTTCATGACCTGATTATTTTTTTAAAAAAATCAGAAATGATCTAGTCAAAATGTTTTTCTTGGTTAGTCCTAAAAGTTTACAACTTTTAAATCCTGGTATGGTAGTCTAGAAACAATGAAAATGTTATTTAAAACAAATTGGTATCTACTCCCCAACACTGGATGAGGGCTTCATTTCTTTGAGTCTTACTAATCATATTTTGACTCATATTATTAAAAATTAAAAGTGCATCCTATTTTGGAAGATCTTATATATTTTCCTTGAAGTTATCCAAGTTCATTGTCTGGTAAACTATCAAGAGACGAAAGCCACTTAAAAGTGACTTGTACACCAATCATAGGACAATTGAATTCCACAGAAGCAGCTGCAATTTCACTTGGATAAACCGTCTGAGAGTTCTTGTAAGCAGAGGGAAAATGAGCCAGGGAATTCAGTGTGGCTGGGCTACGGGTCCTCATCATCTCTAGATAAAATTTTATATTCAACCAGGTGCGATTCAGTCATGAAATCAACAGGTGAGTCATACATAGCTAGCCCTTTTTTAATTGAGAGAGAATAGGTAGAATGGAAGATATGAGAAACTGCATATACCAACCAAAAATTAACCCTGTTGCTGTTAAGTCTATTCCAACACATGGAAACACCATGTGTTTCAGAGCAGAGCTGCCCATAGGTTTTTCTTGGCTGTAATTTTAACATAAGCACATCACCAGTCCTTTCTTTTGCAGTACCACTGGGTGCATTTGAACTGCCAAACTTTAGGTTAGAAGTCTACTGCAAACTGTGCCACCAGGGAGCTTCACTGTACATAATAAGGGTATTTCATAACGAATGCCCTGGGTCACAAGGCAAAATGCATTATAATGGATCACTGTTACAAATCTTGAAAAGCTATAACTGGATATTATTTTCTTTCATTTCCATATTTTACATTCAGTACTCTGTGTCTATTAGCCACTTTTCTGTACTTCCCTGGCAATTTAATCAAAATGATCCTTTTTTTCATCTTTGTCTCCTTCCCATTTTATTTCTTTGCTTTTTAGCCTTATGTCAGATCATGGAGTACTCATCTTTTAAATTTGTCTTTTTAAGATGCAAAAAACACATTTTTTCAGCATATCAACTCAATGAGAAAGAGTGAACCAGATTCCGAAGTTACACAAGTACAGTAGAGCTCTCATCATTATAAGATGAGAAAAGGGATGTGTTCTATGAGAGTCCAGATCTCGGAGAATGTACAAAGTTGTTGTCAGCAAAGGTCTAGTTCCATAGTCATTTGGTACTAGACATCCCAATCTCAGAAAAGTGAAGGAGACTTTGTCTCATTATCCTGAATAGCCAGTTGCCATTGAAAGAGCAAAAAAAAAAAAAAAAAAAAACACATCTACAATGTGGCAGTATAATTTTTAAAAAATACCAGGGACTTCAAAAAGTTTTTGGAAAAATGGATTGAAAACATAATGAAATTTTTTCCATGAAATTGTTGAAGCCTCCTTGTGAACTGATATTTCATTGCTGTGGAACTTGAAACAAAATTCCAGGAAGACCTTAAAAGCTTGTAAGGAGCAAAACACAGAGAAAATAAATGGACTAAGAAATTCTTTCTTAAGTACCCTCTCATAATAGCCAACAAAAACAACACACAAAATGGGGGCTCTGGACCAAGTGTCTTCATTTTCTAAAAGTGGGTCAAAGATAAAGAAAGGAACACATGGGAACATTTAAGTTCTTGCGTGTCTACATTGACTGGCTTGCACATCAGTCGTACTGGGCCCTTATAAGAAGAGCTTACAGTGAGCACAGTGCTATGTAAAACAGCGATCTCAACGACAGATTTATATAAAAGACCATTGTCCATGCTGGCTATGGTTCAGGGTAAAAATACATTAGTGATGTAATCAGAATAAATACTGAAAACCCATTACATTGAGTTTGAACTTTAGAGAGAACACACAGGATTCAGAGAAACAGCCATACCTTCCAGGGCAAATATTCTTTCTCCCAGAGCTTCAACTATAGTGACTAGAGCCAATTCATCAGACACGTTGAAGAAATGCTTTTCAGTGGGCTCACTTGCGATTGATTTTATTTCCTCCACAAATTTCTCAGTGCTTAAATTCCCTCTGTTATAACTGCCAAGAATCTAAGACACAACAGAAATGGCAAGTACAGATTTTACATTCTAGGTGTTAAATAAGGATCTCAGTCAACTCAATGAGTTTTATATATACATGCAGTTTATATGTACTTCCACAATCTTGGAATGAGAATAGATAGAAAATCTAGTATTAAGTATTGCAAAAACACTGCCACTGGGATTGGAAAATAGAGTAACTTTGGATGTGCAAACATTTCTTCTCTTGTATTCCTGTATTTCTGTTTCTTAACAGCTGTTTCTACAAAATTTGACAGTTCAAAATCGGCATTATATTTTCTGAATGGTATTATTTCAGCCAGTGAGTGGTGGTGTCATTTGTTAGCAGAAACAGAAAGTAAGTTGCTTAATTTCTAATGGGCAATTCTTCCAGAAAAACAAACAAACAAAAACTTACCAATAGGCAGTTCAAGTCCTAAAGTTCTAAACCAATATTGGACTAAGTAGTGACCTAATGGATAATCTAGAAAATAAAGAATTGAGACATTTCTGTTTGAAAACAATGGCTAAAGACAGGAACACTAATTTTGTATAGGAAAGAAACATAGGCTGTTGTGTACCATCAAGTCAGTTCCAACTCATTGTGATCCCGTATAGGGTTTCTGAGAGCGGCTGGTGGGTTTGAATGTTGATTTTGTGGGTAGCAGCCCAGAGTGCCACCAGGGCTCGTATACTGTATGTTGTTGTTGTTAACATTGAGTTGGCTCTGACTCATAACAATCTTATGTAGGGTTTCTACTGAGTGGCTGGTGAGTTCAAACTGCCAACCTTGCAGCTGAAATCGACCTTCCAGTCCAGTGTTTATCCTACAGTGCCACACCAGGACTCCAAGTTATATAGTTATCTGTAATTATTTCGATGTCCAATCAGGCTTCTCTAACATTTAACTTTTAGGTGCAATATTTGAAATTTAGTTTATATATATCAAAATTCACAGTTTTATGAAGTTAGACAAATGTTTGCAACCATGTAGCTACCACCATAATCAGCATGAATGAGGCATGCAGAGCTGTCTCTCAGGTCCTGAGCACACTATTTTGGAAGCTTTTTATGTTTTGAGTTATTTCTCAAGTAGGATGTCCAGACATACAAGGACTTTAAAATTATCAGCAGAACACAAGCATTTGGATTCTGGCTAATTTGCAAAAAGCAAATGCCAAACATCAGCTAGTGATGACATTTGAACAGAGGTCACTATCACTTTCCCACTGTAGCTAAGAGATGGGGGGAAGAGAGTGAAGGAAAGAGACAGAAGAGGATCATAGAGTAGAAACCCAAGGGTCCCTTGCTGTTATTACATTCAACAGATACTCACTGTCATATTTTTAAATGACATATGTTAAAATTGAGCTATCTCAAAAAATCTGGAATTTACATGTCCAGAGTAAACGTGGATAAAGCAGGAAAGCAGGATTCCACGCATACATCAGGGACTTCCTTAGCTCTTCACCATACGGGGATCTTCTCGGACGGAGCACACCGCCAGGCTCCTTTTCTGTCAGCAGCTTTGATATGTGTGACATTTCTTTTAGACTGCCACTGATTCTGTATTCAAGTGAAGTGCTTGGGTTCCTGTTGATTTTCCTAATTTAATCTATAGATTAGATGGCATCCTGAACTGAAAAATCACCATCTTTCATTTTGGTTTCCATTTAACATATTCTAGATTCACTATCAGGTTGACACATTAGCTTTCATTTCAATAATGAATTGATGAAGTTGAAAATCCACATAAGAATAAATAGCCTTGGGGATAGACATGTGATAGCTTGTATGGAAGGGAACAAAGTACGAGTCTTTCAAGATTTCTGCAAGAAAATTAAAATAAAATGTTATAGGGCACACAGACTCAAGAGAAACAAATCCAACCCCCACCCCAAAAAATGTAGAGACTTTGGACCTTGCATGATATGAATATTTTCAAAATTTCAGTGTTATGCATAACAGGTCTGAAGCAAATGGAGAAAGTTCAAGAGGGAAATGTGCAAATAAACTATTTAAAGAACATAAATAAAACACAGAAATAAAAAAATGGGACTTGTTAAGTGTTCTCAAGTTGGTTCTGATTTATGCTAACTCCGTGTGTTATGGAGTAGAACTTCTTCATAGTGTTTTCTTAGCTACATATTTAACAGAGGCAGATCACCCAAACCTTTTCTTCTGTGGTACTGCTGGGTGGATTAGAATCTCCCATCTTTGGTTAGCAATTGAGCACAATTTGTGTCACCTATGTGGTGCTGTAGGATCAGTACTGGACTGTGAACCACAAGGTTGGCATTTCAAACCCACCAGTTGCTCTCTGAAAACCTTATAGTGGGCCACTATGAGTTGGAACCGACTCAATAGCACTGAACAACAAATATAGTATTAAAGCAAACCACTTGCCCTTGAGTCTAGCCAATTGTAATTCATGGTGATTCCATGTGTTTCAGAGTGTAACGGCATCCTATAGAATAGTCACTGGTTGTGCTTTTGTGGAAATAGACTGCCACAGCTGTCTTCTGAAGTACCTCTAGATATATAGCAAAATAGGTTCAAAGAAATCCTAGGACCTCCTGTGATTCATGTATTTCTGAACTATGTTGTTCCACATAATGAAAATGAAACTGCGGATAAATTCATTTCGTTCCTTCATTCAAGGGTCTGGTAGCTTGTTAAAACATTATTTTCTGTAACCAAAAAGAGCTATAAAATAGGGCTTATAAACTGCTCCTGTCTCACTCAATATAAACATATCAAGCCTTGCTGTTGTTGTTGTTGTTAAGTCCTGTTATGTCGGTTCCGACCCATAGCAACCCTGTATAGGGTTTCCAAGGAGCAGCGGGTGAGCTTGGACTATTGACCTTGCAGTTCAAACCAACTTTGCAGTCCAACACATTAACCCACAGTGCCACACCGGGACTCCATAGCAAGCCTAGACATTGGAATTTGTTAATATTTACCTGAAATAGACAGTCAGAATTGAAGATTACTTGAAAAAAATGGGTCAAATGTAAAAGTCTACAATTCATTTACATGTAGGACAATGCCTTTTGTGTGTAAATTAATGAAATTCTAAGGTACTTTCTAACTCCTCTGAATTTTCATTCTAATGCCATAGGTGTCGTATTCTTCACAGCCATTATATGCTAAGATTACAGTAAGCATTTATAATCCAAGGTTAGAATTTGCATGTAAAACATCTCCTGGGAACCAGGTCTAGAACCCTCAAGCGATGGAAACATGTAAGTCTTAAAACCATCTCAGCCCCCTCATCAATCTAAACATTAACAGGAAATGTTTGCAGTCTTTCAGAAGGTGCTTACATGTCAACAGACATTCTTGGGTGCTGGATCTACTTCCCCAACAAACTCATCTTCATGATGTTCAGGACCAGGTGGCGCAAAAAAAAAAAAAAAAAAAGATGGAGTAGAAGGAACCATCCAGACAATTATTGGACCATTGGCTATTTGATCATGTTGACCATGAAAGGACCTCCAGAAATGCCTACAACTAGCTTTTCTTTTTAAAGAGTTCAGAGAGGAAACTATTATGAAATAAATACCTTTATTTCCTAATTTTCACAAAATGAAAGCATATGGTTTACTGGGTAAAAGAAATATGACTTGGGTAATTGTTCCTAAGAGCAGTAGTTGTTCCTAAGAGAAATTGCTCTAGGCATTTTTTATTTGCAGTACATATTAAGTCACTGTTAAAACCATGAAAGGAGCTCTTGATTTTATGGTTCTCCATGAAGATTAATATGGAGTCCTGGTGGGGAGCCGTAGGATAATCACTGGACCACGAGATCTGTTTGAATCAACAAATTGGTGGTTCAAACTCACCAGCTGCTCCTTGGAAACTCTATACAGGATCACTATGAGTTGGACCTGACTTGATGACACTTAACAACAATAACAACAATGAAGATTAATGCTATAATTAGATCTCTTTTTGACTAGATGGGAAGCAAAGCATGGATTATCACCTAAGGATGCAACAAAGAATCACATAATGATAGGACAGTAAATACTGAGTATGTATCAAATATAAAGCACAGAATGTGCTTGAAATTATGAAGCCACTAGTAGATGCTTTCTTTCCAATGAAGTTTTCCAAGTCCTGTTTATTTTGACAATGATTAATATGGGTTCACAGCCTGTATCTATGGTACCAGGGACACAAGACTATACCTCTAGTGAGGAATGGAACAATTATAGAACATTTGATATCCAGTTAACTGGGCAAACTGGGCATACACTGGCTTTGAATATGGTAGCTGGACCATATTGTATTATTTATTCTCAACCATGGGAGAGATCAGAAAAGTTATACTGCAGTAACAGGAAAGATAATAAAATATACTAAAAAGTAATTGGCAAAAGATAATTTATTGAAGCAACAAGAGGAAGGAGAGAACCAATGAGATGGTTTTATATTTCTTTATATCTTATTCCCCAAATGAAAATAAATATTTCAGCCAGAAGTCATCATTGTTATAACCAAGTTTCAATCTTGCCCTTTGGAAGCAGTGAATCAGTGGTGTTCCAGGACTTAATTATGGGTGAATCTCTCGTTTTCTTTACTCCTTTGATGAGGTAGAGTGTTTTTCACTGTTCATACTTTTGAAAATAAAAGAAGTAAATCTCACTGAGGAAATGCTGAGGCAATATTGTAGGCAATATTTGAATACTACTTGGTATGTGACACTGTAGGATAAGCCCTGGGCTACTAAGTGCAAATGGAATCCTGGTGTGGCGCTATGGGTTAATATGCCAGACTGCAAAGCTGTTTGAACTGCAAGGCTGGCAGTTCAAGCTCACCAACTGCTCCTTGGAAACCCTATGCAGGCTTGCTATGGGTCAGAGTTGACTCGGCGGCACTTCACAACAACAACAACAAGCTTCAAGGACTTCTGGTGTAGTATCCAATGCACTGTGGATCAGCACTGGACTTCAAACCACAAAGTCAGCAGTTCAAACCCACCAGCTGCTTCTCAGAAACCCAAT